AAAAAAAAAAAAAGTTTATTAGGTGCCATCCTGCTCTGCCTTCCACCTCCATTAAGGCAGCAATTTTATTTCAAGGAAAGTAATACTATTACATTTCTACAAATGGCCTTTTTATATTCCCATTCTGGTAATAAAAGTATAGATTTACAACAGTGTGTATCCATAAACTGGATTGTATTAAATCCTGATCTCAACAGAGACCGTTTCTTATCCAATTACATGAAGTAGCTGTTAACTCCTAGTGTCCTTTCGGATTTTAACTGCCTCGTTCATTTCAAATGATCCTGATCAACCATCTTATTACCTCATTTATCAGTATCCGCTCCCCCCACATCCCTTTCTCTTTTGTATAAAATCTTTTCTGCCTGCTATTCCGTTAACAGCATCTAACAAATAGTTTGTTGCCTGAGAGAGCTCCTTCCTCAGAAGATCATTAATGTGCTAATCTGTTAATTCCTTCACTACATGGTAGTATATTGTAGGATAAGAGATGATACAATGAGTTGACATCTGTCCTTGTATGCAGGAGGTCTGAGGCCCAAGTATTAATAATCTAAATTAGTAGAACTCAACCTTTTAGCCCTGTGGGCTAAATGAGTGGCATGTCTGTGGGCCAGATCAGGCCCTGTGTGGCCCATGGGCCACTGGTGCCACTTTAGTCTTAATCTTGCTGACTGGGGCTGGGGCTGTGGTGCTCCACTCCCTGGCCAGCACTTGCAGGGGGTGCACCAGCGCTCCCGCCTGCCCCCCTGCCCATCGCTTAAATGGTAAACATGGCTGGTTAGGGGGGTGCACTGGCACTCTCACCACCATGCACCCCCTACACTTCACCACTGGTGTGGCCTCAGCTGGTCTTCATGTGCCATGATTACTGTCCCATGCTGCCTCTGCGTGGTCCTGTGCACCAGCTTAGAGCGCTGTGCCTCCCTGCATGCCCTATCTAGCCACACAGACCTGTGAGGAGCCCCATGGGCTGAATGACAGCGTTGTGGGCCAGATCTAGCCTGAAGGCTGGGGTTTGAACACACTTGATCTAGATTACTTACAACATTGTAACTGGTAGTGATTGGATTTTTTTCATAATTTGGCTGTGGAAAAAGGAATATTTTAGGTCAGAAGTAAGGTGCAATAGATGGCCATGTTATTTGGAGAAGTGTATGTAGGACTTCCAATATACTTTCCTTTTGTTGATGCTACTGATTTCTCAACTTTATGCACTCTAAACCTGAATCAATTTTGTTTAATAGTAATAAAATATTGCGAGTTTTGTGATGTGAGTTTTGTAATTGGATACTAATTCTGTTGTAACATGTATAGGTGATGATACGTGTGAGTATCTTCTCTCCAGCGGGAGATTTCTTGGAGAAAAAGTATGGCAGCCCCACAGCTGTATGATGCACAAGTATAAAAATAGGTAAGGATATTGGATTACCCACTTACTTTGTTTTTATTCTACTGTCTTGAAAGGAAATGTCTTTATTAGCCTGTGATTTTTTTTTTCAGTTCTTGCAGTCTTATTTCTCTTTGACTATATGTATTCATGTAGCTTTCTGGATTACAAGAAAATACATCAATTAACAAAGGACAAGGAAGGAATCTTTTTTGTATTTTAGCACAGTGGATCCTGTTTGAATTTCTAAAAAAGCAAATAAAGGATAGTAGAATTTAAAAAATACTGCAATTTGTTTATTATGTTTATTATGTTGACCTTCAAGATAGCTCAGTAGGCTGCATACATTTCTATACTGTTTCAAGTTTTTGTCTAAAAGGAAAATACTGTAATAGCTAAATGTATAGTCTTTCTGAGTAATTTTTAAAAAAAATATTTATTGAATAATTATGAGAAATAAATTATCTGTCACTTTTTTCTTTTGTTCATTTAATATAAACAGAGGTAGCTACCATTTTCTACTCAAGTATTCTGTTACTGATGTCTTATACAACTCCTCTGAAACTTTCAGCTTCCAACACCATGTCATAAGAAAAATAGTTCCATCTCTTCTATAATAATTTGCATCATCAGATTGTTGGGAAGATTGATTATTATTTGATTGCTAATTCTTGTTACATTTAATACATTCAGGGGTTCACTGATGGAGAATTTTTGGGGCGATACAGATGGCCAATTTTTTTTTTAATGAGCCATATCAGCCAGTACTGATATGCCGCCAGGCAGCGTGAAGAGCAACGTCTGGCTGATAAGTCTGTTGTGGGGGAAGGGAAGGGGCATGGGGGGGACAGATCAAGGCCCCTGCGATGAGGGAGGGAGTGGGGCTGGGGCAGGGGGCATGCACTGTACAGTACCAGAGTGCAGCGTACCAGACGGAGCTGTGAGCAGCTTGTGCAGGGGAAAGCGGCTCGCAGTGCTACACTCAAACCCCAGGAGGGCATGGCAGGGAGAGAGGGGCAGGCAGGCATGTGAGGGCAGGCTACTGCTGCAGGTTGGGGCCAAAGGGGCAACAGACTCTTCCCTGGGGGGGGGTTATGGGGGGGCTGTAGCCACCCCAAAATTTGCCGTAGCTCCCCATTACTCCCTCCTAGCACTGCCACCTGCCCTGAGTGCAGCCTGGCCCAGCACCTTCCCCCCCCAAAGAGCCTGGTGCTGCCCCAGCGCAGCCCTCAGTGGCAGCCACCCTCTCTCTGCATGCAGATCTGGGGCTCATGTCCCTATGCCCTCCTGGGGTGTATGCAGCAGCAGGAGCTGCCCCCCGCCCACCCTTAGCCCCCTGGATGAGCTGCTTGTGGCTCCATCCTGTGTCCTGCCCTGGCTGTACAGCCTCTGCCCTAGCTCCACTCCCTCCCTCACCACTGTGGCCTTTATCTGCTTCCCCTCCCCTCACAACAGACTTCCCAGCTGAACCCAGCTGCTCTCCACTCTGCTGGGCTGTGCTTCTGGCCACCTGCATGCTGCACTGCAGCTGCATGCATGCATGGGACATTTATCAGTGGCGGTCGGCCACATCAGCCGAAAAAAGCTAATTGTTGATGCAGTCAATTTTCCTTATGTCGGTGCACCTGTATTTAAAAACCAATTAATCCTTCTTTAGTATTCGCTGTGATTTTTAGAATTTCTGTACCATGCAGCTGATTTCTTTTAGAGAATTCTCTATTGCTTTCATTAATGTTATACCCTTTAAAAATTCAAAAGTTAATTTATTAATATTACTAATGTGCATCTGTGTTGCCTTTGTTTTGTTTTACAGTGAAGCAAAAAACTGTCTCATAGACAAATACATTGCATTTGTAGGAGATTCCAGAATTCGGCAGTTATTTTATTCTTTTGTAAAACTCATAAATCCTCAAGTCAAGGAAGAAGGAAATAAGGTGAGTTTTTGGGGGTTTTTTCAGATTTTTTCTTTCCCTGCTCCCCTATCCCAAGTTCTCGTCTTCAGTTTCCCACCCCTTATTGACAGGATGAGAAGACCTGGAAATTGTACTACTTGCTACATGCTATCATAGGCTGTGGAACAGGGTGGGCCACCCAGGCCATGGCCAACCAACTTTTAGCACATTAATTTATATAACCCACAAATGTGCAGTTGTCATTCCGGTTAAAACTGTATAGCTTTTTTTTTTTTAACTGCATAGCTAGCTAAATTAATGTGCTAAAAGTTGGTAAGGCCATGGTCTGGGCAGCCCACTCGGTTCTGCGGCCTGTGCATTCTATTCAGGAAGGGAAACCATGTAGGTCAGTTTTAAGTAGGAGATCACTTTTGGAATTTAAAAGTGACCCAAGATCTACTTCCAGGGCCCCGCCCAGCAGGTAAGTCTGTGGAGGGTGCAGATTGAACCAGAGGAAGAAAAAATTGTTTGCGGTGTGTCCCCCCAGCAGGTAAAACCATGTCAGGAGGGGAAAGGGCCAAACAGTTGTGCATTCACTTTTTAGTTTAGTGTGAAGCATAATTTGCTGAGAAGGAGAGAGAACTTGACCATATAATTTGGTCAGACAACCAAATAATTAACTTCTTATGCTATTTGATGCTAAAGTAGTGCATAAGGAAGCTGAGTGGAAAGGATATTTCACTATGAGCTGCAAGTCCAGCTTGTCAATCAGGTGGTACATGCTGGGTATTTAAGTGTAGGTTGGCAGCTTATTCCACACGCAGCACGTAATGAGTTTTCACTTGTCAGAAGTAATGTTTGGCTGATTGAGTAATAATAGTTTTCTTAGCCTGGAAGTTGGCCAGCCAGAAGTAGGAGTGAGTTTGGCAGTTAGGAGAGAATGGCAGGGAGGCAGGTATAGTTAAAAGTGTTCTGATCTTGGAGGCATTTTGCCAAGTGCTTATGAAATGAATAGTGGTAAACAGGATATCTTAAGTTTCAGGAGGGCTAAACAGGGACTTGGAATTGTGGGGGAAGGGTAGGTAAATTTGTCTTCTGTATTTCGGTTTTACTTGTGAACGAAAAGTGTATTTATCTTCAGTTCAGTGTACTACTTCAATCCCAGGAATCCGGAAGTAATACAACTCAGTATAATATTAAAGAAATGTCTGTCTTCTGACATCGGGGATTTACAATAATTCCCATTTTAAAACCTCTTTTTTAATCGGTAAGTTGTGTGATACTTAAAGGTGCACATGCTGCTGGAGGTGATATTTTGGAAACTTTAAGATGCCTGCTTCATAGAATACAAGAAGGATAAGTACAATAGACTTGATGAACATGGAAGCATGAGGAGAAAAAGATTGGGGTGTGAGCTTTAACTTAATATCTATCTTTTGGGAGCAAAATTTAGGGAAATAATGGCATGAAGAGAAGAAATGTTAAACCTCTATAATCTGATAATACGAGGTTAGGGTACAGCAAGAAGTGGTTAGGGGGACATAGCAAAACTGACTTTATCTATAATTGTTTTGCCATTATCACTATGTTGGCTAGAAATGCTGAAAATCATCTCCTTAACCAATGTGCCATGCTATGCGATGCTGGCAAAAGCCCTACTGTGGGTGCAGTTAGAAGCATGTGTTCCCAACCTTTTTTGTCAGTAATAGGTGCTTATATTTGGGGAGTTGATATCAACAGTTGTGTTGGCATAAGCCATACTTCCACTAGGAGGAGGTATTGTGGGCCTGGCTGTATTGGCAAATTTTCCTTATTAGAAAAAAAAAAAAAAAAAACGCTTTAAATGAG